AGCTATAGAAGTTCTTATTTTTGGAAGAATGATTCTGCTCTTTGCCTAATATATAATGTGATATCATTTGGTCTAGGACATAATAATATTGGACGGTAATGAAAAATAGACTACATGGATTACTAGTTATTCAAAATAATCATAATAATATCATGATGGCCAAATTCTCACTTGTACAAATATGATGTAAAATACAACATCAAAACAACATAACCTGGTCATATATTTTTCAAAAATAATCGACCCAACTTTTCTTTTCTGGTCATTGGAAAGGGAAAACAAGTGTTTCTGACACACAGAGGGCTTTTGAGGGGGATTTACTTTAAAAGGACTTGGAAATCAATTTGATAATTTAAGTAAAAACTACAAAAAAAAACAAAAATAACAATTTACTAACTCTTTCCCCTCTTCTGACTCTTGAGTGAAAAAGGAGCCCTAGGAAGAAGAGGGCCAAGGCTCTTTGTTCGTAAGCCTTAGTTTTCTCATCCGCAAAATGGGAATATAAAACCCACTTTCATGAGGATTGAGGTTACATTTGTTTCATACAGTGATACCATATAATCTACTGTTCTGCCACTTACCATTTAAGTGACCTTGGCCCTGTTACTTATTTCTTTGAATTTTTGTTTTGCTCGTTTGAAAAATGGGGTTAATGTGTTTTGCTCAAGTAGGCTTATTGTGGGGATCACATTTAAAAAATGGCATGCTCTTGAATTACTATTTTTATGGTACTTAAAATAGAGTATACATGATATAAATGCTTGTTAAATTAACAGAATTGGTAATAAAAAATAGCACAAAGAGCTCACTGACACACTTCTACAGTTACCATTCTATTTTTGTCAGTAATGAAAAAGACTTTTAAAAAATTCTTAGGGGAAGCCAAGATGGCAGAGGAGGAGGTGGAAGGCACACCAACCTCCTCCCAGGACCAATCTGGAAGTACAATTAAATTATAGAAAAATTATCCTGAATAACCAACTGAACACTAGTTGGAGAGAAGCCTTATAACCAAGGACTTATGGAAGAAACCACATCATCACAACAAGACTGATAGGAAGGGTGGAGGCGTGAGAGGGCTGGCTGGACTCCCATGGGAGACAGCTGATGTTCTGGAGAGATATTTCAGTGGCTGGCCAGGTGTACCCCCTCAGAAGTGTGGAGTCTAAACCCCAAGCGAGGCTCCCCAGCCTAGAACACCAGCACTGAGAAAAGAACCCAAATAACACCTGCCTGAGAAAAGCAGCGGGGTTTCTTTCCACCAGGGAGAAATGGCTCTAGATGCAGAAAGGCTCTTAAAGGGCCAATCAATGCACAAAATTTTGTTTGCAGCCACTTTCCCTGGGCTGTGGCAGAGGGGAGACAGAGTGGACTAGAGGTACGTCAGTAAAGTCTGGGGCTGGTAGCTCTGGGGAGAGAATTAAAGGGTCAACTGCCAGGATCCCTGTGCTGAGTCATTCACCATACAGCAGAAGCCATCTTTTTCAAGCAGAGCACTCCCTCCAAATTGGTGTCAGCCTGAGGGGACGCAATAGCCCCACCTGCAGGAAAATTTCTCACCCCACCCTGTGGAACTTACGCCAGACTGCTTAAGAGTACAGCTGCAGGCTATTTCAATGACAAGCCTAACATAAATCCTGCAGACCAAGGCCATCTCTTGGAGCTCTGAGACTTTAGCTGAGCTCCCCCCTGGCCTGGTGCTGGTGACAGCCAGCCTTGGTGCACAGCTGGTTCTCTGCACACACTCAAGCCCAGTAGAAGGAGCCACAAGCTGTGGGTAACTGATAGCTCCAAACAGGTTGCCCAAGGCCAGTCACAGGCAGCATCTGACCAGAGTCTTGTAGCTCTACCTAATACATAGAAACAAACACAAAGATGCAGCCAAAATAAGAAGACAAGTAACAGGCTCCAAATGAAAGAACAAGAGAATTCTCCAGAAGAAGAACCAAATGAATTGGAGGCAAGCAATTTATCAGATATAGACTTTAGACTAATGATCACAAGTATACTCAACAGCATGAAAATACATAGAAACCATAAAAAAAAAGAATGAGTCAGAAATAAGGAATGCAATATCTGAAATAAATAATACACTGGAAGGAATAAACAGTAGGTCAGGTGAAGAAGATCAAATCAATGATTTGGAGGACAAGGTAGAAAAAAAAACCCAAGCAGAGCAGCAAAAAGAAAAAAGAATATTAAAAAATGAAGAGCTTAAGAAACATCTGGGACAACATTAAGCATAACAGCATCCTCATCATGGGCATACCAGAAGGAGGAGAGAATGAGCAAGGGATCAAGAACCTATCTGAAGAAATAACGACCGAAAACTTCCCTAACCTGGAGGAGGAAAAAGTCACACAAGTCCAGGAAATAAAGAGAGTCCCAAACAAGATGGACCCAAAGGGACCCACACCAAGACTCATCATAATTAAAATGGCAAAGCTTAAAGACAAGGAGAGAATCTTAAAAATTGCAAGAGAAAAGCAGTTAAGTTACCTACAAGGGAGACTGTCATGTGGTTTTTCAAGAGAAATACTTTAGGCCATAAGGATTTGGCATGGAAATATTCAAGATGATGGCAAGCAAGGACCTACAACCAAAGCTACTTTACCCAGCAAGGCTATCATTTAAAACTGAAGGACAAATAAAGAGCTCCCAGACAAGACAGGGATGTCTGCTTTTACCCCTTACTCAGCATAGTACTGGAAGTCCTAGCTGTAGCAATCAGACAAGAAAAAAATAAAAGGCATCCAAATTGGAAAAGAGGAAGTAAAACTGTCTTTATTTGAAGATGACATGATACTGTAGATAGAGAACCCTAAATATTCTGCCAAGAAACTACTAGAACTGATAAATGAATTCAGTAAAGTAGCAGAATCGATATCCAGAGTCAGTTGCACTTCTATATGCCAATAATGAACTATCAGAAAGGGTGTTGGGAAAATTGGAGAGATACATGCGGAAAAATGAAACTAGACCACTTTGTACTCCACACACAAGAATAAATTCAAAATATATTAAAGACTTAAATGTTAGACCCAAAACCATAAAATTCCTAGAAGAAAACATAGGCAGTAAAATTTTGGACTTTGCTTGTAGCAATATTATTTCTAATGTATCTCCTCAGGCAAGGAAAACAAACAAAAAAATTTACAAATAGGACTATATTAAACCAAACAGTTTTTGCACAGCAAAGGAAACTACTAACAAATTAAAAAGGCAACCCACTGAATAGAAGAACATATTCAGCAATGCATCTGTTATGGGGTTAATATCCGAAATTTAAAAAGAACTTAATTAAACTCAACACCAAAAAACCAGACAATCCATTTAAAAAATGGGCAAAGGACCTAAATAAACACTTCTCCAAAAAGGACATACAGATGGCAACTGATATATGAAAAGAAGTTTGATGTCACTAATCATCAGAGAAATGCAAATTAACACCATAATGAGATATCACCTCACCCAAGTCAGAATGGCTATCATAAGTAAATCAACAAACAAGTACTGTCAAAGTGGAGAAAGGGGAATCCTTTTGCACTGCTGGCTGGACTGCAGATTGGTGCACCCACTGTGGAAAGCAGTATGGAGATAGCCCCAAAATTAAAAATGTAACTGCCTTATGACCCAGCGATTCCACTTTTGGGGATTTATATGAAGAAACCTGAAACAACACTGATTGGAAAGAGCATCTGCACCCCTATGTTCACTACAGCATTCTTTATAATAAAAAAGATATGGAAGCAGCCCGTGTCCACCAGCAGATGAGTGGATAACACAACTATGGGACATTTACATAACGGAATACTATCAGCCATAAAAAAAGAAGATAATTTTACTCTTTCCAACAGCATGGATGGACCTGGAGAACATTATGCTAAGTGAAATAAGCCAGTCAGAGAAAAGCAAATGTCATATTATTTCACTCATATGTGGCATCTAATTAATAAACTGAACCAACAAGCAAAATAGAGACAGACTCAGAGAGAGCAGGCTGGTAACTCTGGTGGCAGGTTGGGAGGTTATGGGTGGATGGATGGAGCAAAAAGGAAGAAGGACTCATGGATGTGGACAACAGTGTGATATTTGGGAAGGGCAGTTATAAGGGGGATAAATGGCAATAGAAAAAACACAATTAAAAACTTGTGACATATTTCCTCAGCTTACTTTCAAGTCAACAGGTATCCATTAAACACCTACTGCCTTGGGGACACAAAATAATTTGTGGTCTCTGCCACTTGAGAAGTTAATCTTTTTCTTCCTTTTAAAGAAATATTTTATTTATTTATTTTTAGAGAGAGGGATAGGGAGGGAGAGAAACATCATGTGCGAAGGAAACACTGATGGATGGGTTGCCTCAAGCATGCGCCTCAACCGGAAACCCACAACCCAGACATGAGCCCTGACGAGGTCCCACACGAGACCTTAGGCTTTTAGGGATGACGCTCAGCCATCTGAGCCACGCTAGTCAGTGCAGGAAGTTTGTCTCTCCTATACTAAATACAGAATAAATGCTCACAGCGCAAAGTTCAAAGACACTTGCAACCAAAAATTACGCTGGTGCCACATAAATTACCCGTCAAATAAAGTTACTTGCACATTTAAGTTCTCTAAGGTATTAATAAAAACGCAACTACCAATCGGGAATGCGTTTATTTTGACATCTCCGCAGAAAACTGTTCCATACCACGCCGACCGTCAATAGGCATTCTGCATGAATTGTAAAATTTTCCTGTATCTCTGCCTCGGATGTCTGACAAAACCTGTGAGAGCGATCCGCGAAACCAGGCGAATGAAAACTCGCACTGGAGACCTCATAAGGCTTGTGACTTATGAACTCAGAGAATACCTGCGTCTGCGAGGCGAAGAGAAGCGCCGAACCACGATCGTGTTTACGAACAAGATTGTTTCCGCGGCTAACGCTCACCCAGAGTCGAGAACCAGGGATGTCACCTTATAAGTGATCGACCCCAAAGTGCGGTTCTTTCTGGCAGGGGTTGTGGACAGAAAGCGGCATTAGAGGCGAAAAGCAGCAGCGATGCGGAGCGCAAAGCAACCAAAGTCCCTAGGCTTCCCGTGGCGCCGCTCCGGAGCACTGGAGACGCCAGGCTCTGCGGGGGTGGGCATCCGGACACCAGCTCGGACGACAACATCCGGCTTAGCCGGCCCCAGACCACCCAGTCGGGGGCCCCCCGGCTCCATCTGGGCCTTATCGACCCACCTCTGGAGCCATCCACGTCTCGGGCCTCTTCGTCACTTCCGGCACGCGCGCCAGCCCGCGGAGAGGGACCAGGCCCGGGCACGCGCGCGCGGCTGCTCGGGGGCGCGCAGGAGGGCGGGGCGGGGGAAGGGGGAGTGTCTGCTTGCGGCCACCGGTCGGTCCCGCGGCTGCTACCGCTGCTGTTTGTGCAGCCGCCGGGGCAGGGGAGTTCGCTGAAGCTCCGCGCTCAGAACTGGCCCAGTGTTCCCGCCGGTGCTCAGGGCATCAGCGCCGGGAGGACTCACCGCCCTGACCTGTACTAAAGCGAGAGTTACCTCTGCCTGTGGAGCGGCGGGGACGGCCCCAGCCCCCATTCCCCTCCCTGACCCCTTCATTTTATCGCCCCAGTCATGGGGAACGCGGCGACCGCCAAGAAAGGCAGCGAGGTGGAGAGCGGTAAGTCAAGGGCTGGGTCTGGGGACCCTCCGGACGGGCCGGCGCGGGGCACCGAGCGCCCCTCTGGGTCGGTGCCTCGAGGCCGCGGGCATGGTCCAGGCCTCGCAGCCACGATCCGGAGCTGCTTGAGGGGGCCCTGGGGACCGGCTGCTTTACTGGTCCACTTCCCTCCCCCAGGTCCGGCATGAGGGCTGGGCGCCAAGGGCCACATGGAGAGAGGAGGGAGCGAAGCGGTCCCTGCGATTCCCCCTCTCACTAGGGCGAGGGGGACCCACTCATTCTGAAACACTTCCCCAGATGTGGTTCGGATAAAGAAGTACATTGTGCCATCCCAGCCCTGGCTTTTCCCCGCCCCGCTTCTTTGGGAGCCACAGGTAGTGCTTTGGGCAGAATTGGCTCTTTTCCCTCCATCACCGTTGGAACCCAACCTTATCGCCTGGCTCTTGCAGGTGACGTTAATCCTGAGTGCGAAACTATGTTTTAAAGACCCTCCCTCTTCAGAATAGGAATGGGAAATATGATAAAACTAAACAGGCAACTTTGTCAACTAGAGGGAAAAAAAAAAATGCAGGCTTGCCTTTTCTTAGGACATTCAAGAGTCTGCTACAGTGTGAAACTTAAAGGTCACTCGGAGTTGAAGAGCTTCCAGAATACGGTGGATTTCTTCTGAGATCTGAAAGTGCAGGAAGGCCACACTTTATATCAAACAGTTAAAAGAAACATGAAAATTGAATTTTTGTATGGCTCTATTATATAGTGGGGGCAAAAAAAATTTCCTTCCGCCTTCTAAATTCTTCTAACTGGGCTAGTAAATTAACATGAGGCAGATCAACACGAGAAAATCTCCAAACTTCATACTGATGTACATTGGGGAATACCATAAGATATGAAACCCAAGGCACATTGGGCAGTTGAGGTTTAAATGCCATTTTAGACAAAGGAGAAGTGGGCAGAGGTCTGGGATTTCGAAGGAAAAGTAGGCAATTTACAGGTAGATGAAAAGAGCAAACATGTGGTAAACAAATTCTTTCTGGGCCACCCAGAAACAGTGGGACAGAGGGAAGTCTAACAAATAGGCTCTGCTACATTTCTCCCTGTCTGACACTTTTAGTTTATATTAGGATGCTAAGGTGATGCTCTTTTCCATTAAGCAAGTTTTTCCATCTGAATTCCTTTAAGAGGGTCAAAGGTTCCCTCTGAGTCTTTTTTTTCTATTTATAACCAGCCTAAAATCTATACGCCAAAAGGCAGATTTTGGAGTGGCAAAACTTTTGTCTCCTTCTATACATACTCTATCAGGATTGTTGTGTAAAAAAATTTATTTGTCTTTGTCAGGTTCAGCTCAGATTTTAAAATTCAGAATGACCAAATAACAAATGGTATTTGTTACAACACTAGGAGTAAATTACATCTTAGCATTTGAGGGAATGCCTGATGATTTATTCATTTGTGTAAACAATATATTTTAATGTTTCTATGCAACATGTTTAAGGCTAATTTTGTAATTTAGCATGAAAGGAATAGTTTGGGGGGGTTTTTTGTATCGATAACCAAAATTGATTTGGAAAGATTTAGGTGTTCATTTTGTTTAAATAGTGAGATCAGATTATATGGTGTATGTTTTACTAATAAGGAGTTGATATTAATTTTCAGGAGCTCCAGAAAAGTTGAATGTACTATTATACAAATTATCAATGAACACACTTTAGTATATGATATGGAGATTTTAAAAAGCCATTGTAGAGGGAGAATTTCCATGATCTTTTTTAAATTGCACAAATGCAGTAAGTAACTGTTCTATATTATAAAATATAAAGAATGTGGAAAGTGTAAAGAATCAGTTGTGTCCGATAAGTTGTCGTTTTCCCTTTTAATTTGAAGCTGTATAAATTTAACCTAAATCATGTGCTAATCATATTACAAAAAGTGTGATTGGTAGTTGAATCATATCAGTGATTTCTTATTAGCAAGTGCTGGCCCGTACACTTCATATTTTTCATAATGATAGTAGACTCTTCTGTGATCTATTTACAGTAGCCTCACCTTATCCAGTTTCGTTTTTTTGTGGTTTCAGTTACGGTCAGCCACATTCCAAATATATTAAATGGAAAATTACAGGAAAAAAGAAAAAACAATTGATAAGTGTGAAATTTGTGCTATTCTGAATAGGATAATGGAATTCCGCACCATCCCACTCCATCCTGCTCAGAACATGAACCATCTCTTTTGTTCAGCGAACTTACTACCTACCTGTTACTGAGTAGCCATCTTGGTTATCAGATTGACTGTCATGATATCACAGTGCTTGTCTTCAAGTAACCCTTATAGTGGCCTAATGCTGTGTCACAATTCTTAATGTCATTCACCTTATTTCATGTCATCATATAGTCATACCATCTCACATCATCACAAGAAGGGTAAATATAGTACAGTAAGATATTTTGAGAGAGGGACCACATTCATGTAACTTTTATTACAGTATATTGTTATTTTTAATTTCACCATTAGCTATCACTGTTATTCATTATGTCTACTTTGTCAATTAAACTTTATCATAGGTATGTATGTATAGGAAAAAATAGTATGTATAGGGTTTAGTACCATCCACAGTTTCAGGCATCCACTGTGGGTCTTGAGAATGTATATACCCCATGGATAGGGGAAACTACTGTGTTTCTGTCATTAAGTTACCAAACCAATTCTCCCCTTGACAGTAATAATTTGAAGTTCACAGCTATGGGATAACCTTGGATATTTACAGAAAACAGAATGGAAACTTTAAGTGTTTATATAAATATATTTAAATTGTTCCTATTAATACATTCTTTTCTAAGCTTTAACTATTAGTGACATGGTTCTTAATGTTTGCCAGCTTTTTATATAAGTTTATTAATGGAAACTGAAGGTCATTATGGTACTTTGAATAAATCCTGTCAGGTGATAATGGAAAATATTAAATGATCTCTCATTGGGACAGTTATTTGAAATGTAATGGGTTAATCAGTTTGTACTTTTTATTTGAAGCAATGTTATTAGGTGTGTGTCACTGCTATCCTACCATACTGAACAAAGGAATGTTATTGGTATATCTTAAAACTTAATGAAAGAACAACTTTACCAATTATATGTTTGTGTTTTTTTAATTACTCTTGAAAATATATACCTTTCAGAATTTGAATGTAGTTATTTAAACTTCAGTGGATACATAGAAGTTTAAAGCTTTAGAAATATAAGTGATCTTAGAGATCAGCTTGTGTAATGGTTCCATATCAAAGCCAACGAGCCTGACCTCTGAAGAAGCGGGAGTTGAGATCATATTATTAGTGATATCAGAGTGAGGAATAGAGCCTGGTGCCCTGACTCCATTCTGTATCACTAAATAATCAATACGAGCCCTGTCCAGAATGTATCCAGCCATGTACTATTAAAAAATAAAGACATTTATTGAAGAAGACACGAGATACAAGAAACATTGTCATAGGACAATGATGCTGCAGTCCCCTTCAAAGTAAGTACCTTGGAACCTCACACAGTTCTCCCAGTCGCCATCAGCTGCCCTGTTATATTTTCCTGAATCTCATTGACGGTCTGAAATCTATTCATCTTCACAGGTTACTTTAGTTTTGAGAAAAGCCAGAGTGCCAGGGTGCGACATCTGGGCTGTAAGGGGGCTGAGTCACTTGGGGGATTTGATGTTTCACCAAAAAACTCTGTACTAGATGTGATGATAGGTGGGCGCATTGTCCTGGTGAAAATGCCAGTCGCCAGTTGCCCATGGCTGTGGTCTTCTGAATCATCCGAATAGCTTCTATGAAGGAATGTACACACTTATTGCAAAATTTGATGCAGATTCATTGCTGTGCTCTGTCAGTCATTTTGAATGCGATGGACACATAGTACACATACTCTACTACATACACAATGGCGTCTACTGCCTCCACTGACTAGCACAGTAGAACTGTCATTGTTCACATATGTATATTCCAGTCCACTCTCGTTGGCTGCCAGGTTACATCAATGTCACACAAACCGTTTTTGTTATAGTAACACTGGCTAGGCTTTTTCCAGTCAGACCTCATACATACAATTTCAAAATGTCTACCAAGTGTATTAGTTTCATTTGGATATCCTGTGAATAAAAGCTCAAGAAACTTTCTATTTAGTATAAGAGGGAAAATGAACATATGAAAGTTAACTGGAAAGCAATATATCATGAGTGTAACCTCATGGAAGGCGAAGTTAGAACTCTGAAAACGACCAATAGGAAAACGATTGATTTGAAAAACTGATTTTAAAATATCAGGTTGATTGAGATTTGAGGTTTGATTTGGACCATGTTATATATAGGTGACTCTGGAGCTTAATTAAAAACATTCCAGAGGACTGAAACTGTGCATAAAGATATTGGAGAACGGTCCTGCTCTATTGACACTTATTCCTCTGCTATTAAAATTAAACATTTTCTGGGGTAAGACTTAAAATCTTGGGAGATTCCATTCTCATCTCTACAGTTTCGGGAGATAACTTTAAGTTGGGTACCTGTTGTACTGAAATGAACTAGGAATTTGTATTGATATGTCTTAAAACTTAAAGAATAACTCTTACCATTACATACTTGTTTTGTGTATTTAAAAACATTACTCTTGAAAGTAAATATATGTGTTTCAAAATTTATATCTAGTTATTTAAACTTCATCTAATATGCAAAAGCATTAATGTTTTAGAAATATAAGTGAGTATATAATTCTCTGAGAAGTTTTAAACTCTCATCATTCAAAATTGTTTTAATTATCCAGTCTCTCACTTTTTCATTTAGGCCATCACCAACATAAAAAAGACATGCCATATATTTTAACCTGGTAGGGTT